GAGAACACAATTGCTTCAATAGTTTTGAAGCTGTAGCGAATTGCTACCTTAGTAAAGCCTGACTGACTCAGAAATCTCTATGGCAGATCCTCCTACATCTAGCTAGACTCCCAGAACCAGCTAAGCTGTAGCCCAGCTATAAAGGAAACAGACGTGTAGCACGGAGCACGTTTATTCAGGACGTATATTGCGGATCAAGCGTGTACACACAGGGGGCTACTCATGATCAGGAGGGGGGATTAGATTAAACAGAGGTTGATGATTGGTCACTGTTTGTAGGGTCGCTGCACACAGAGTTGTGCGGCCGCACCTCCTAATCCTGGCGAGCAGACATGCAGGCATACGATAACGCACAGAGCGAAACGTGTCCCACAGATGTCTAACCGATTGATCTCTCTCTCTTCCATTTCTAAAGTATTTTAGCCGATATTAGTATGGCCCCTAAAGCACCTTCAACATGGGAAATAGAGCTAATTTTTGGGCTGGTATGGCAACCCTTGGATTCAAATCGCAATCGTTAAGTAATTCAATATTCACCACAAAGTGAACGAGTCACTGAGATCCACGGCTGCATGAACACATTTGCACACATTCAACTCAATTCATTGCTATTTCACTTCTGCTATGCTAAGACCGCACCAGTTCAGATCAAGCTTTTTAGTCACTGGTCATTACCTAACTCGGTGGATAGGTCGCCATAGAGTAGAGTGGTCGCCTCCACCAGGAATTTGATGCTCTCTGATGCTTCTTGGTTCCAATCCCAACGTCAAAACACCTTTATAACTTACCTCTGCTATAGACTTGTACTTTATAAAGAATGGAGGTATCCGAAGACTCGATGTCTGGAAAAGTTCTAAATTGCTCTCTTCAAGAAGACTTGGTTCAAATAAACCTTTGTTGACTGCCTTTTCATATTTAATCTAACTCAAGTAGTTTGAATCGATTGAAAATCATAAAAGAGTAAATTGGCTTGTTGGAGGGCAATAAGAATAGCACCAACGAACCTAAACGCCAACCTCTATAATCAATTAATTCTTGAGCTACGGAAAGCTATTCTCTCGTAGGATTTCAGAAAACGCGCTCATTCGACATAAGCGACGACATCTAACATAGACGTACCCGTATAATCCACTAGTCAAAAATAAATTGGGCTGGCAGTCCGCCTGCTCGCCTTCTTATAACTAATTAATTTCCTCAACGCATGAAATTGGCACACATAACTCACATCTTACATGCCAAAATAGGTATCCATTCAAGCTAAGCCACTGTTTCAACAAAGTAACATACTAAGAAGATCAAGGACACGCAAAATTTGTTTCAACACAAAACTGTTACACAAGATTACAAGAAGCACAAAAGAAGAAAATATTAATCGGAATCTCTGGTTGTTTTAATTAATAACCCCATTGAGGTAATGGCGGCAGGAAGGCCAAAGGAAGGTCAACTGTGAGGAAGATAAAAGAGTACACATAAAAAAGTAGAACAGAGTAAACTTGGCTACATAAGCGGCATCGAAAGACGGGACTCTGATAAAAGATGATCAGCTTTTAGTAGTCAGCGTTGACTCAGGTGCTTCTGCAAATTGCGATTTCGGCCCAACTTGAAGGCTTGTCTCATCGACAACAATCTGGGAAAAAAGAAACAGTAAGTCAATAAAGCGCATTTGAGAAGGAATGGGCAAGGAATGGAATGAAAAGTTCTACAAACCTCTTCGTTGAGGAGATTGCTCAAGTCGACCCGATATCGATTGAAGGCTTCCTTCAAAACATTGTACTTCTCAGGATGAACTCGCAGCATCAGAGAGCGATAACGAGTGAGTATTACCAAACAAGCTGTGAGAAATTCGCTACAAGATAGTAGAGAAAGTTAGGAGAAGTCTTTCGCAAGTATTAAGAAACTGAAATTCAGTGTGCCAATTTCCCCAATTCAATACCTCACAGGAATAAATATGAGAAGTATCGACGCTTTGTTGGGAAAAATTTAGCATTTAAAGGTCCACGCATTGGTGTGACAGCGACAAACGATACAAATTTTAACCTTTGCTTTACCACAAACTTAACATAATGAATATTTCCAAGGAGTTGGAATTTAGATCCCATTTAATGTATCAAGGTGCCAGAATAAAAAAATTTATGTATTAAAATCAAAAGAGAAGCATTAGAACCGAATTCTGGCACCATAATTGTGAATCCATAGCGTAGATGAAATCTCGACTGAATTTGGAAGACCTCTTCTCATCTTCCATAACATGAGTGCTTAGCAATTTTATGTTTGAGGGAATTCTCACATGATAAAAATAGCCAAATTAGCAGTGTGAAAGTTTGTGTTGTATTATTAAAAGGATATTCTTTAGTGTATAATTCAAATTGACCAACATTTATTGGCCAAAGCACATTATTTTAAGAGTGCAGAGCAATACTGAAAAAAGGACCGTTCTAACTGTGCACTTGATGAAGTGTAAATAACACGAGATCGATTAAGCTTACAAAAACAGCTGCTTTAGTTTGCTAATCTTCGCCTTGGGATGAAGTTGAATTCTCTCAGGGTCAAGGAAGGCATGAGCATATGCCATTGGTCCTTGGTTGACTGTAGGCAGAAGAGCTCCCTGCAACTGCATATCTAATATGAGGGGCACTCGACATTCACCTTTCGCTGTCAACTCAACTCCACTCTCAAGAACTTCGAGGGATGGAGAAGAAGCGGTGGTAATACAGATTCCCCTCTGGTTCTTATTAGTTGCAAGATGGAGGGCTGAAACAGCATGGAACATGGAAAATGAAATTAACCAATCGTGGAGTATTAGAGAGGAAAATTGATAAACCACACCCACCAGAAACATTAGCGCTCTCCTGAGGAGCACAAGGAATGTAAGCGGTAAGTTCACAAACTTTAAGCTGAATGGCATTGATTGCTGCATCAAGGGGAGAAAGATCAATATCCTGACTGGAAACAATTTCCAATCGAGAACGGAGATGGGGGAATACAGCTTTAGTTGTTACTACTGTCCTCCTCTTCCACTGAGCTGTAAGATCTTCTGTTCGTTTAGGACCGGAAGACGTGAGACATTCATTAGCAGTCATTCCTAAATTTGAAATAAATTGTGCTGCTTAAATCGCATCAGTAGCACATTTGATATATATTTAGTGCGAGAGGAAGCAAACCTGGTTGCATGACGAAGGGTGTTTCAAAGAAGAATTCTCTAACATCATGATGTCGATCAAAGGCGGCTAATTGAGTCGAGGAATCCATAGGTACATAGGGTTCAATAAAGGTAACTTGGATGTAGGCTTTGTCCGGGGATAGACGAGAAGGATCGATGTAATTTTCAATTATCTTCTCAACTTTTCCAACACCAAGTCGTTCTTCATGGATCTTGACTTGATTTTGAAGGAAAACATTAATCTTCTGCCAGGCTTCAGCTCTGTAAACATAGGATTTGCCAGCGAGACCTTCAAATGCCTATAATTCAAGCATTCCAACTAGTAACTGGGATTAGGTAATTGCACAAATGAAACGAGAGGTATACCTTTCCAAAGAACGTTACTCTGAAGTACGTGGCAAAGAGCCTATGTGCAGAGGCTTCAGCTTTGGCGATATTCTCATAAGCGCGACCCAGATGATGGTATATATTTGAAAGACGGGCGTAATTCCTACGTGCTTCGTAAACAGGAGTAATTAATGCGTAGACAGGTTGAAGTGCTTCATAGAGACCGGCAGCTTCTAGTGCTGTTGCGGCATCAGTAACATCACGCAATAGGTCTTCCTACAAAAAATAATAAAAAAACCTATTAGTATAAGCAGAACCAAGTTGTCAAAATTAACTTGAGAGGGACTTACCTGATTATAGGAGAGTTCAATAATCGATGGATCACAGAGATGTGAAGTCTCCTCTAATCGAATGTTAGCAGAAACTTTACAAAATGCGTCACACCCTTGAGGGAATTCACCTTTAAGGAACAAATAGGAAATAGTAAAAACCCACTTCGGATCAATTTTGAGCAAGTGGAATCAATGCATAATTGCCATGCAAAATCAAATATAAATGATTTGAGACGATTCACGAATGCTTAGTTTGTGTGTTTAGGTGAATAAACTTACGTTCTAATTGGCCTATATAAGCATGTATGTTTGGAAGGGGTCAGGAAAGTTGAGAAATCCAGCACACACAACAAAATAAGTTGTCATACTCACCCCTCTTGTGCAGATACTCTGCCATTAGAGCGGCGATATGGAGCTTCGCCATAGCAACCTCAGCCATATTTTTCAAGGTCAAATGGAGTTCAGCTAACTTCTCCAACCAGGTTCTAAAAGTTCGGAAGAAGTTAGTTTACAATTCAATAAATAAAAGGATGCTATGGAAAGAAAACTGACCTTCTTAACACTGGATTACTGGCATAAGACTTAGCCAGGGAGTACTGTAGATCAATTTTTCGGTAGGGGTCATTGCTGTATCGACGCATCTCCTCAGTGGCTGTGAGGACGGTCCGAATTCGTTTAATAAGATCTTCAATTCCCTCCATGAATGAGGCAGCTGTAGGGCCACGAAGTGGAGCCTGCAGTGCAGATGCCTCGCTAACGGATCGGGAGTAAGAGGACTCTACAGTAGTTTCCCTGATTCCACGTTGAATATCCATTCCAGCCAAGCTATGGAGGAGGCTCAAACTGGATTCAAACTCGGGACCAATAGAACCGACAAGTTTTGAGAGAGCGATGATGATCTAAACGACGAGAAGAGGAGACTAAAATAATGGCTTTCTCTTCACAACCAACCACGTGATTTACTCAAAGTTGTTTATCAAATTACCCCTATTTTCTACCTTAATATCTGTATTTTGCTTACGGACCACATCTGAACCAGTGATCCACAGCAACTCTGATCACTGCGTTCACGTTAACTGGCACTGTTAAGGCAGCCAGGAGAAAACACTACCGAACTGAGCTCACCTGTAAATGAACCCTCTTGAAACCCTGTGTGCCAAAGACCTCAAAACTGGCCCTCCACATTCGGTAAATGAGACCACATGCCTCTAGCCGCAGCGCTCCAATATGGCTAGCACTAGAGGCGTCAAAGAGAGGAGAATTCACGGTGAAGGTGAACGCGCCGAGTGCACTGACGGGGGTGATTGGCGACTTATTGGAGCCCTCATCGTCGTCGGTTCCAGTCAGTGGAAGAAGATTGAGATTTGAAGTGCGAAGTCCTGCCATGCAGATTCGAGCTAGCCCTTCGGTAGTTTCGGAAAAGAGAACCTACGATAAAATGACAACATGCTTTTATGATAAAAGCTTCATGGTCTGATTTTAAAGAATATATAGACAAAGAGGAAATAAAAAAACCCAATGTGATATGCCGAAGAACTGTACAACAGCATTACGACATCCAAACCCCTTGCTTACATTATTAACTGCCTATTTTTTTTAGAAAATGATCAAACGCCAAGAAAGAGAATAGATAGTTTAATTTTAAATTGACGCTTTACTCGATGATGCCTTTCTTCTTGTTCCTTTTTGGATGGCTTTAGAAATCTAGAGACCTTTTACAATTCTTGATTGATACCGCGATGTCCAGGTACATCAAATCTGGGCCGTAAATCTTTGGTCTGGAGTAGGGTCTTGACACTTGCACTCGTCCCCAACTCCTCCCCCCTGGCCACAATTATGACTTCACAAAGAGCATCAAGAAGGGAAAAAACATTGACTGTAGTCATTATGTACATGCTTCCAGTAGGTTTCAGTCCTGACCTGTCGCAATGGCTGTAAATGCTCCAATAAAGAACACCTTTTCTCCAATCCACTTGAATGTTATTAACACTTGCCTTCCTAGGTTTGGAGATTTTCAACATTAACACCTAAACAGTCGGATACTGGTTGACCTATAGTGATAAGGAGAATGATCAAAGAGTGGATTGTAAATATAAGGGAAAGAAAATTAATCATTTAAGTGCAATTGAGAGTGCAAATTCCCCCTACCCCCACCCCACAAAGATGGTGTTACTCACTTTAGCAAATCGTGAAATAAATACACGAAGTGAAGCGAATGTGTGCTTGAGGAGGCGCTCAGATTGGCCAGTTGAGAGAAGACAGGCATAAACCCCTAGAATGCCCTGAAAGATGGGATTTGACGGCTTTCCATTCTCGAGGTCTCTCTACAGAGGTATATTTTTTAGAGATATGGTTGGATTGATTTAAAAGGAATTGCGAGTAAAGCACCAAAACGTACTCGGAATGTGTTACACATTAAATTGAGAATGTCCAGAATAATGAGACCAGCCTCAGCGGCCATGTTGGCTTCTAGTAGCACACGGTAACCTAAAAAATGTAATTGTTATGCTCAACTGAAATAGTTAAATTGATAATTGAATAATTAGCCAACGGTTAGTAAAAATATATCTTAAATGAAAGTCAGAATTTAACTTACCACTATCAGATGTGGCGGAGTTTAAAGTTGACCCAAGAGTTCCCTTTGGTGTCACTGAACTTGTACTTATTGTACTACAAAAGAGTTTCAAGAGGAGAAATAAAATTCATACAGGTAGAAATAAAACAAGTTGTAAAAAAATCGGACACTCACTTGAAGCGCGAAATACACTTGCTCCCGCGATACTTGATGTGCTGAATAGCATATCTACAAGGAAAGAATTTACAGAACACGTGAAAAACGTAAATAAATGAAACCTCATTATCTTAAAATACCCGCGCATTGTGACCATTGTAGAAAAAGTGGACGCTACGAACGATAGGATAGAAATTAGAACTGTGCAAAGAAATGATTGGCTTGATCACCTCTCACTCTGACCTAATTGTACATTACTCCATTGGTGAGTCAACGCAAATCCAAAATTCTTTATTATGGAAAAGCTACCTCAATAAATAGTTAGGGGAAAAGGTATGGAATAGGAACGAACAAGAACAAAATTAAGCCTCGATTAAAGTAAAGGAGAGCTTAGAACGTAATTACTGAGATTTAATGAGGATAAGTGTTTCAGTTCCTTACACCGTTGAGTTTTCCACTTGACCGTCATAGGCGATTCAATCATTGCATAAGTCAATAATTTAAAGCAGCAATAAAATCCACCCCCCCCCCTATACGTCTATTTTAGTATGCATAATATATGTACCAGTCTATCATCTCCGAATTCAAACACTTACGTCAATAGTTTCAAGAAATCAGCCTTTTCAGCATCACTAAGGCTTCGAAGCAAAGCAATTAGTGGATCATCAGACAAATTGTGTAGGAGTTGAAGAAGACAGATATAGAGATCCCGCTGGCATTTGTCATTCAAGTGTTGTGATGACAACAGATGAGCATGGGATCTCCTGTGAATATGTCGACGGAAGGTGTAGTCAAATTGGGCCGCATGAATTCTGAACTTGGATATTGTAGAGGCGGACTTTGACGTGGGTGCAAAAGCATCTTGAGAAGATAGCTGATTCAGCGGTGTAGCAGACTGCCTATTCGAAGGGAAGAAAATAAATAATTAATTAGAAAGATTTGAACTTAAATAACTTGTTCGATATCAATTAGTTGAAAATGCAAACAGGACACTTTTATTCTTAGTTTGCAATGAGAGAGGCATCGAGATAGTGTTAGATAGGATTCTAATCATCTTGCAATTTACCCCTAAGACTCAAGGATACATGAAGCAGTTACCACAGAAATGTTTGGCCATTCTGACCTGCACATGCCACGCATTCAACTAAGGGGTGCGAGTAATACTCGAAATTGGGAGTGTGCGGCCGAAACATTGGCCACCAAACGCGCCAATCAAATGAGAGGTGACGGATCCATTTCAAATCTGCGTGTACCCAGTGAATGGAGTGACCGACCACATATAGACAGGAAAATATAGGGGGCAGAAGAAGTAGAGTCACTCAAAGGAGACTGCTTAAAGGGAGTTAGAAAACACTGTTCTAAAGCGGCCTTAGAAAAATTACTGATAGAAAATAGAAACAACCATTTTACAAGTTTACTCGGAAATAACCAACACAATTGGTTTACAACAATACTGGAGGTGTACTAATTTATTAGTTGATCCGTGTCATAGTATATCCAATCACTGTCTGTTTTCTTTAACTAACCTCACTTTGGCTCCATTAGGCCGAGGAGCTGCCGGGGGAAGAGATTGAGTGCCATTGCTAGGAGGTTTCGACGCTGGTATAACACCAGCAACTTCAAGTACTCGTTCTGGCCAGGCTCCGTCATGTTCATCGACTATAAGCATTTAGAGAAAAACAAGCATTAGTGTCAGATGTTAGATTTAGACATTGAACGCAACTCTAATTCATTAAGTGGAGAAATAGAGAAAATACAAAGCCAATCACACATATGAAGTGTCTTCGTAATTTGTTTAAGTTCACTCACTATCCGAGTTGTAGTCAGCGTCACTACCAAGGCTAGTTCCTTCCTCTCCACGAACACCGTTTCCATTGCTATACCAATAGCCTCCGTTGGATGAATTCTCGCTTCCTTCCTCAGCGTCACCATTGTTGCTTCCTCCGGCCTCAGTCAGGGTTGAAGTGCTTCCGAACTGGCCTTTAGTAGCAGGAACTTTAGATTCATTGGGTAGACGTCTGTGGGGAGCCACGCGCTGTAGAACACCACCTAAAGACGATAAAAAAGATGGCAATGGAGCAGAGACTCTGTGGAATACGCTGCAAACATTCCATATTTTTTGTGGTGAAGGTTGAAAAGCCGAAAAGGCTCAACTTTATGCGCGGTGAGAAGGTTGTTTTCAACATTAAAATATGAGAGATTGTTTTGCAAATTATTATATAAAAAACGGTAACAAAATATTTCACGTAACCATACATCTAATGGCAAACACGAGGCCAAATTTGTTGAACTCCTGAGTTTGGATTTTCAAACTGTATTCAATAAACAAAATACTCGAGGGTATTTAGAACGTCTGATCTCTTAGCCAATCAAAAGTTAACATACAAGACACTGTCAGATCGTAATACAGCATTCCCTTTTAAATTAACATGTGTAAATTTTTGCACTGCCAATAGGAATACAAAGAATAATCCAAATAGAGAATGAAGAACATTAGCCAAAAATTTAAGAGCCAAAAGGTAGAAAGTGAGCATTGACTGGAGAGTGCAATTGGGAATAGTGAGAATATGAAGTTAATATCTAACCTTTGTTGAACCCAGCAATCTGTTTGAGGACCTCTGGAGCAACTTTGCCATTTGGACCAAGAAAAGCTGAAGACGCTGTTGATGTAGTATACCCTGAAGTAGTCGATCTCATCTCAGAATTTGATGAACCTGTGGAATTAGTCACGAGAGACAGAGAGCTAACACTGCCGTCAGAGAAGTGTTGGGTTTTAAGATTTTCCGGACGTTCAATTACGGTAACTTTCCTGCCACTATCCCCCTGCAGACTGCCCCCATGGTGGAGCAATTTGAGCTTGTGACTGGTTCGGCTCTTACGGCGACGCTGCTGTTGAGAATCACATTGAGAATCGGAATCGTCTTTGGTATGGCTACTGCGTTCAACTTGTTCAAGTTCACGAATTTTGAGACCTGGATATAAAGTAGCAGAAAGATTTTAAATCGATTTCAAGTTTTATCTACACAAGCTTTAAAGAAATGGGAAGGGTGGGAAATAAAGGCCTTTATTCTAAAGGGCAGATTAAGTTAGGCGCAAGAACCTCTACAGGGAACAAGAAAAAAATTTAAAGAATAAGCGTTTCAAAACGAGAAAAAAAACAAATGTCAAACAAAGGATGCATGGCTACGTGCAGTTTACAGAACCACCCTAAACCATCACAAATAGTAGGACTTAATTAAAATGTTAATACATTGATCGATCACAGCTAGGTCTCACTTTCCTTAACCAGCAGTGTTCCAAACTATTATAAACAACACGTCCCACTTCGCAACACACACAAACCCACACTTAAACCCCCTCACAATTTCTCAACACACTCTGATCGATACTATCTTGAATTCGCTCTATCCTATTGTGTTGCGCACATCAAAAGGAGATTCAATATAATTTTTTGTCAATGAGGTGATAGGCTGCCACTTACTCTCCCTTCAACAACATAGTTTGTCTTAAATCCTCAATAACCATAGGAAAATAATGCATTGATGTAAAAAGCCAACCCACGAGTTTCTTACGCTTGTGGGATTGAGAGAAATGAAAGTCAAACAATCAGGAAAAATGAAGGCAACTTAGGTGAATCAAGTCTTACCAGGTGGGCCAAGAGACTCAATATTTTCCAGAGCAATTTTGACCAACGGAAGGTAGAGTAAGTGGATACGAGAGCGAAGACGCGATGAGGCGGTATATCTCGGGTCAAAAGCCACTTTGGCCAGCTGAGCCAGCAGGAGGAGAAGGGGCTGTCGAAGACCCCGAGCTGTAAATGTGCCTCCAGCATCGGCACAACCCGCCAAAACGCAGGCAACAGCTTGAAGAGTAAGTCCAACTATGAAATGCTCCTCACAGAAGCGTTCACTGAGTGTGAATTCCTCCGTGCGATCTGAAAAGTACACAAAATCGGTGACTAGGGCAGTCACTTAGGCGCTTATACTTTACACATGCCAATCCCTTTCGGTTTAAGCATGGAGTTAAGGAGGACCAATGACATCAATGACAGAGTTAGTAAGAAGTTTGATGCAACCAAGAATTAGCACGGCAAATACTTCAAATACACACCTTGGAAAAAGTATTACTGATCGACCAAAAAAGATGTGACTACAGAGAAATTAATTTCTTTAATTTTGACAAAGAGAACACACCACATTGAATGGCACAGTAAATCTAATTACATCAATGGAGAAATAGATGCCAAATTAGCTCAATGCCTTGCCAACGTAGAATCAGTGGACTAACACTTTTAACCCTTGAACTCTCCAATTCTATTTTTTGAAAAATGCACCCAACCACGTGTGTCTAACAGCAGACTAATGCCGCCGAAGTGATGAGTTTCGGCGGTGTATCAGGCGAAGGCTACAGACACGTATTGAACATGTTTCAAAGGGCAATGGCACCGCTTCTGTTACGCGTCTAGTACCAATGGAGCTTATTTCGGAAGTAGACCGTACGATTCTAAGGACGTTACCGGGTTAAAACACGAAATATTTCATAAAAAACAGACAATTTTGTGGTAACATAATACTTAGCAGACTTTAAAACGATTTTAAAGAGAAAGAAATATTTAGGGTAACACACCAATGGGAAAATTTGGCAATAAAGTCACTGCGCACCTGAAGAGAAGTGGGCGTGATTTAAATTTATACCTGTTAATTGTTAAAAAAAGGCAATAAACATCATCAACTGAACCGTCAATACTTGGACAGTGACTAGATCAGTCTCTTGTTGGATGGATGCACAATGGTAAATACCAACCAGGACCAATCTTGGCAAACGAGGGGGGGGGGACATATTTAAAACAAACGCGGGAGAGGGAGCGAATCTGGCGTGGTTTGGGAAATGTTAGGACTTATTCAATCGACGAGTGGCTGAATCGAAGTGCGCATACCAACTAAAAGGACTTTATGCATCTGAATGGTTTAATCCACCATGGAAAGAAGTAATTTTCACTATATCGCTCTAGCCCCCAAATTATTGAACAAAGATTCACACTCGTGTCTCTATGGAAGTTATCGACAATGGTTAGGAAATAAAAAGAAGGCAAGAAGGGCGTTTAGGAGGACATAAGCGAAACTGTAGAAGTTAGATTGGGTGTTATGAAAAAGAAAAAGAATTAGGGACAAGACTGTTAGAGGCTATTAATGCAAACAAACGACTAAAAGGGGAAAGGCTCACAACTAGAAGGTCATCAGACTTACGCTTGACAGCTGAAAATGAGAATTAGCGTTATTATTGTAATTGAATATGAACAACTATAATTAATACAAGAATTGAATAGGGGATATTTAGATTACCGGATAAATGGGGACTTAAAGATGGCAGATTAATTTGGACGAAGAATTGAGTCTCTGAAAATCGTTGGATAAGCCGATAACGAAGACTGTTAAAACGATCCACTTCAGAAGGAGTCTAAGCGGACAAAATAAGCAATAAGGTAAAGATCATGTTTAGGGAAAAAAGTAATTCTTTTCAGCCAACCATATTGTGTCGAATCTCAAGCAGAGATAACAGGTCTCTCAGCCTTTGCAGAACAAATCCCCGATCAATAAGAAGTAACAATTGTTCCAAAAAAATGGCTGTACTATCTGCCAATTCCAAACCAAGCATTTCGATAGTTTTTGATTGAAAAGTTGAGGCCTTCACAACCTGATTGTCATAGATACTCAAGGTGCTAGACAAATGATCACTTTTCGTTGAACTGGCGTCGAAACCTGGCACTTCAAGTCCATCACGCTGTGAACAAATTTCCACCATCCAATTGCCAAGGAGCCTTATAAGAATAGTCAAATCTGTCTTGAACGCCGCGGATAATCGACCCCAATCTTTACGATCAACCTGGAAAACACAATCAATTGCGTAAATTGTTCAGATAATTCCCTAATTTAAGCAGCACTGTGTTACCTTATAAGAACCTGAGGCATTTAAATGCTGACCCAATGATTTGATTATCACTTCAAAAAAGAACCAAGTACTAAGTAAGAAAGGATGTGCGATATCAGAGAGACAACATGGGTCAACCATGAATGCTACCATTCCACGGACAACAGCATGATGAAGATACAAAGCTGATGAAGCGGCGTGAGGAACATCATAAGTTTCTGAAACTTTATTATAAAGGCTTTGAGGGTCCAGAGAGAACTGAAAAAATTGGAAAACAACAATTAGACTTTCGAGTGTGCAATAACTGAAGTAAATTTCAAAACGCACTTCTAAGAAATTCTTCAGGATGTCAGGTCGAGATGTGCTACTCATAGCTGATTTAGGAACCGACGATACTGGGACAGACGAACCAGAAAGAGCTTCCTTAATAACGCAAAGAATCATAGAGAAGCTCCTACGAAAAAAATAAGGAGATGAATCGAAGTACTTACTGAATAGTAGAAGAGTAGAAGACTCAACACATACCTGATTACATTTTTGGCCACATCACAAGGGCCACCAGATACTATGTCTTGACAGAGTGCCAACCATTGACCAATATCAGCATTAGCTGAAGGAGAAGGGGTTTCCAATTGGCTCATCGCCGAACTGACTAACAATACTTCAAGAATCTGATTAGCCAAAGCGGGAAAGAATTGTATTAGTGCATGACTTTGCACGGAAAGAAGGGATTTGATAGCGTTGCTTAGGAGTTTCCCCGTCGTTGTATCTAGCTGAGATGAAGGGAGCGTATCAGAGGTTGATGTACGGGAGGCAACTGGAGTTGCATCATCACCTGTCACAAATCGGACACCCTGGGAAATAATATGTTAGAATAATCGAGATCGATTTTAATATATTCTATTTTTCGAAATATCTCGGCACTCACTCGTAGACTAGTTGAACCGCCAATCACAGGAACTGTGAAGTTGGATAACTTGCTGACGCAGGTTTCAAAAAATCGAGAAAGCATTGAATCTTGACTGTACATTGTGGAGACTGGTTCAAGAGTTACAGTAAAAAGACAACGCTTATTTTCGATCCACGAGGGTTCTGGACCACTTGAAACTGAAGTCCCATTTGAGCCTGCAGTTGTGGTCTGATTTGTGGCAACTCGACGCTGAAAGATGAGAAATACAATTGAAGACATGAAACGAAGTACCCTGATAATTTTATAGTAGAAAATTTCACCATACTGATGTTCTCGAGAAAGTATCAAGATAGCCATTGGGAAGATCTTGAGAGATTGGAAGAGAAATGGTACCACTAGCGAGACTATAATGCGAATTGAACAACGGAAATTATTTAACTCTACTTAAACAGAAATAAGTAGAGTAGAAAGTAGACAAAACTACCTTCCATCATCATTCAAGACAGGTAACCAAGCGAAGCCAGTAGGCGATTCCAATGATTTTTTCAAAGCAGTATTCTTTTCCACCGTAGTTGTTGCCACATCACATCGAATGTGGAAGAATCGGAAAAGTAAATGATGTTTTCGAGTCAGAATGATTGGTAAACACAACTTCGCCTAAAAATGTCAATTACGGTACATACTACTCATATAAATTCAGCTAACCTCATCGGTGAATGAAGGAGATGAATCATGATGTACAACGGCTGTATTAAACCAAGAATCAAATGGTGGTCGTAAAAGTGAAGGGCGAGTATAAAACACCTTTAGAGGCTTCACATTTAAGCCATCACTGTCACGAAGCTCAATAAAGCAGCATAAGTTTCGTGCCTGCAAGGCCAAATGAATAACAGCCAAAAAATTATGTTACTTAATTAAAATCAGTGTTATGAACTTACCCGATTAAAACCATGTTTGATTGAAAGATTCAGATCTTTAGGGTAGACATAGAGGGTATGAACGAAGGCACGATAGGGATCAATAAGGGACAAAGGGGGTTGACTGAAGAGAGCAGCAGCAGACTCTTCAGTGGTAGAGTGATTTTCTTCGTGCCCATCAGTAACAATATGACTCCCACGATCGAGTGAAGCTGTTTTAGACAAGATTGAGGTGGAGATACGCATTAATAAACTGTTGGAACTGTTGCAGTCGTTAGTACCTTCCTGAGTTGCAACAGTCGAACTTGCGTAGGAGGCAGATGAGGCGTCAGAACGAATTGAAGATAGGGAACAACGCTTAGAATCTACGGGGTGAACACCTCCGCGTAAACTTGAATGACCGATACTGTTGCCATCAAATAGAACTGGAAGATAGATAAACATTTATGGTATACTCAGAATGCCAATTGTGTTGTCTCAACTGATTTAGAGTAGTTATAAGATTTGGAACCACGATGAATATACCTGGATTAAGAGCTCTTGCTAACGATTGAACTTTTCTTTGTGAGAATATCTCTAATTCCTTGACAACTTCATCGGAAGAAAAATCTTTAACATGGAGAAGATTTAATGGCTGTCGTGGTAAAGCGGGTTCATCTCCTATAGGGTTCCTCTGACTTGCCACCGTGACCAGTTGGGTAGTCACCAAACCCTTGAGGTGACGGGAGACCATTTCAGTAGAAATCTCATTCACTGCAACATGAAGTTGTATAGGGAGAATATCAGATTTGAGGGATTTTTCGAGTGCTTCAAGGACAGAAGCATTCGAAGGATTAACCGATGTACTCTTCTCGGACCCACTTGACAGAGTTCCTGAGGGCTCTCCAGTTGAGAGAGCCAAAAGTCTAGCAATTTGTCGGACAGATTGGAGGAGAGCTGCTTCAGAGACTTTCGATGAGTCCACTTTGAAGAGTGGCACTTGGGTCTCTTTAGAGAACAACCATTTAGCACCCCAAGCAAACGGCATCCTATACCTACCCAGGAGCTTGCAGTAAGATTGCATTGACTTGTGCAACGCGGTACCAGTTTTGAGATCACTTGAAGTGGATGCGTATTTTGATCCTGCTGCAGCTTTCATGTACTTCTCGGCTGCTTGACTTATCCCACCAACTAGGACTTTGTCAACTCGGAAGACTAGAAAGAGGTTATTAGCTTTTATGGCGGGATCAATTGAGAGAAGAGCCTAAAAAGCAAAGCGCCCAATGAATAAAGTTACTACTACCACTTCAGATTTGTAAGAATGCTGTTCTCAAAACCCACCGACCGACATTTGGCCAACTTTGACAAGGGCGCAGTGAGAGATCCATGGGGATTTAGAGGGATGGGGGGTGCAGGAGCCATACTTTTGCCACCACTTTGAAGATTAGGCGGTTGGTAGTGAGTAGATTGGCTTTCTGCAGTGTGCCATGGTAAGCGACGGAAGACTTCGGGTGGAAGCATGGCCTCCACAAGAGACGAGTTAGGATTCCAACAAAAGTCCTCAGAGAGACGTGTACCACCATCTGCAGTGCTAGCAAGAAAAGCCGTCACGAAGAAGGGTTCCGGCTAAAAGATCAAACAAATAAAAAACATAAAGTACGCACAGGAAAACCCACAGGCCTATCTACGCACAATTTAATTGGCCGAGCAATGCTTGCTACGGCATCAACAAATCACATCATCTTGCCCTTATAAGCTTTGATTAGCCAGAAGCACATAAGAAAACCACACTACAAGAAGATTAGATTCTTGCATCTTATCGTACATATTACTGATGGGCACTTAGTACATTTTTCCTCAAAGTCATATTTAAAAGTAGCATTAAATGTACTAAACAGTGATCTTTAGCCAATGGTTGACTAATGCAAAACCTAAGTTTTTCAGTTAATACATATCGATTCTTCTCAGCACTACTGCGCTTACATTATCAACCTCCAACGTTCCAGACGTGTCTTCAATTGAAGCTCGAAGAGCAGTCTTGAGGGAGAGACAAGTCAAGAGAAACCTGCGCTTGGAGATCTCTCGAGAACATTCTGGTAGAAGACTTCTAATACTGTGAGGAATCTCTCGTGGTAGAGAATTGGAAGAGGGGTTAATTGCATCAATTAGGTCAGCGAATTTTTGTCGACGATTCACACAATCACTTGATAACTGGTTCGAGTAAGTGATCTAAAATGGTTAAGAAGGAAGGAGATATTAAAGATGAAAGGTGACTTCAATCAGTGGGGATTTCTGCAATAAGATCTGGCAAAAATTCAAAGCTTGTGATGGTGATAGGCAACTTCAGGTCTCTGCCTTTTCCAAGTACTAGAAAAATTCATCAAAATCTCCAAATAGGTGGTAAAAGACAGACTGAAATAACCTTTTGAATAGGGAACAAATATGTGAATAAGATCTACCGTAAAAGCTGAAAAAATCAAATCTTGGACTGAGATAATGAAAACTTATATTTGACCTGTGGTAAAATGTAATAGGCGATTAAACAAACTGAACAACAAAATAACACTAGTAATATCTAAATGGAAACAGATTATGGTATCCTTTAAAATACTCCTTGATTCCAGTTGGAAGGATATTAACGAAACTGTAGTTTGATCGAGTAAAGAAAATCAGTGCGAGTGGATGCCACCAACACCAAAAGCACATTAATAAGCAAAAATCTTCGAAAGCCATCTTCGCAGACATATACGCAAATCACAACGCGTCATTTTAACTTCCAAATCACCTTAAATCCCTAAAATACATGGGTTTGGTGGAAGGAGGGTATTCTTGAGGCGGAAATGAGAGAAACTCATGTACTGCCCTTCCACTTGTTGACCAACATCTAATCAGGACTGTTGATCGCCCACACTGCTAGACGCGTAAACACAAGCCTTGACCTCGTGGTATCTGACGTGGCAAAAGTGGTATGCAAACCACAATCTGCCAACAGTAGGGATTTCTATTGCATACTCGTACTCGCCTCAGGGTCATAGACAAAAGGCGAAAGAAAACAAACTACTTTATTTGGTAAATTGACTTTCCGTGGATAAAGAAAGGCGGTAAACATACGGAATGCGAATATTTTCCCAATAGCCGTGTTCTTAGTGATGATACCTATTAATCACGCACCCAGTCGATTTAACGATTGAATACACACACAACTAAATCGTTTAAAAAGCCGGATAAAAACCACAAGCTTAAGCAGAAATGAAGGCCAAGTATAAACTTAGAAATGGAAACATTTACAGGCAAAGAACTGAGTAAGCATTCTCCATAATTTTACATACGTGTCGAACCCTGCCAGAAGAGCACGACTAAGATTGAAAAGACAAAAAAACTTGCAAAGAGAGCCATTTAAAATGGTTAAAGTAGGTAAGTTACTTGAACATCGGGAAAAACGGAGAGTAGATCAAGCCGGTGCTGCTGACGCTGATGACTAACAAATAGCTCATTTTCTTGAGAAAACTACAAAGAAAGCAACAATCAGCATCACATGCCATGAATCAAGCACACACGCAAGTTTCATTCAAGTTACTCGTTGAAGTGAGCTTCTAAGTGAACCACCATCAGGCATTCTTGTCTCTGCACTACCCCCACTCCCGTCTCCACAACCATTAACCAATGATATTGAAGAACCCTCGCCTCCATTCACAACAGAGTAGCCCCGTCGAGCACGAGTAAATTCTGCATCAAGTGCGGTTTTGATAGCACCGATCCAGGCGTTACGCGTATCAATGCTTTCAAAGAAGAGGTAGGCCTCACTACAACCAGAGGGAGAGAAGAAGGATTCGAAACGATCACTGGCAATACGATGCATTCGGCTGCTAGTGTGACGGTCTAGCCGGAGCCAATGGCGACCGATACCACAGACGGACTCAATGGAATCTGGAAGGGAGGAACAAAGTATGGTATAAAGCCAACGTCATGAAGGAAACTGTTAAGGAGAACTAGCGAGTGTCTTCAAGTGCTTTATTCGTGCTACTTTCTATTAGTTCATCGACCCTTTCAACGTGTGAAATTACTTCATATAATACTATCTCTGGCCAAAAAGTGGTACTCTATCAAAGTGGTCTTGTCTTATAGGGAAATAGGCCACCATCCAGAGCACCCATGCAAAACTCAAGGCCAAGAAAAGAAAAAATTCAGGAAAATCTTTGTATAAAATGTAAATTTTGGGTTAGGTCATTTCTGCGGGTTCGAACTACTTTCATTTATGATTGAAGCAATCGAATAGGAATCCAAATCTTCTACATATATTGAATTATCCACATTTTATATATGCCAATTTCAACTACATTTCACAGTTTAAAGTTTCTTGCAATCGCAATAAGTGAGACGTTTATGGAAGAAATCTATCCTGACATTTAGATATTTAAAAAAGGTGCTAATTATCCTCAGAAAAGTCGGATCATATTTCTGTCGAAATAAACAATTTAATAGAAAAGATTAAGCAAATTCACCCTTAATTGGAGTCGATGGGTGAAGGTTTATCTGCAAGAAGTACACAATATCTACCCAAAGTAATTACGTAAAAATGCAGATGGTCAAAGCTAATTAGATAAGATGAAATTATTTAAGTGAAAGCTAAAGCATGATTATGACTATCGAGTAGAGAAATTTTGCGCCATCTCGTAAAGTAGATAAACCAATTATATTTCGGAGAACTAGAACGTGTATATCAATTACGTAAACACAGTCAGTTTGATGAAACCGAAATTGAAGTAGAGGACGCCTTTCTTGGTGACGCATTCTATTGTTTTTTTCTTAATCGTTTCTGATCTGGTCTTCTGACCTCGGCGCTTTAGATACTTTTCAGGGAATAAATTGAAACTTTTCTTCGACGTGAATTACTTTTCTCTAAGGAAGCATTCTAAGAAAGATATAATGCCCCGAAAAAGGATTTCCTGGGAGACAATAGTAGGGTCATCGTACTTTCTCCTACATTAATTCCCAATTATGAGAAGTAGGGCAGAGCAGTGTAAATTAGGCCTGAATTAGACCAGTAGGTCAAATAAACAAATGAGCAATTGAAATGATTCACAATTAGTCGAAATACTGGTTCATATCAAATAGTAAGTGGCAAACTAGATTACCATTTTACCCATGGATGAACTACGCCTATTAAAAGTAATATTAAACTAAATATTATATCAAAATAGCAAAAGAGATGTTCCATTTTTCCCTACTTGAGATAGCAATGAACCGTATAATGTCTTAAAATATGCTCCAAACGGGAACAACCAATTCCCAGACCATAATTAGCTAAGTACAATTGTATAGAAATAATAAGAAAACTTATTTTAAATGTTGATACAGGAAAGTATCACGTCCCAATGATAGGGCGTTTTCAATAGATGCGCAGTTTCTAAGGGGAATAGGTAGAAGTCTAGTAAGTAGTCATCATGAAGAGGTAATGGCTTATAACGGTAAGGTGGGAGAGGTGTTTGGCTTCCCTGTCGCCAGTCAGTGAAGTGGCAATGGGAAAAAGGAGGTATTTGCGTGAATGAGCACGAGAAAACGGTCTGAGAAACGAGTTTTCGGTTTGCAGAATGTTGCTACTTTCATTCAGTACACCAAACATAACCGATTTTGCTTTCAAGGTAAGTACCTCGATATCTAGCACTAAATGAAATATATTAAAGGGAAAGTTTTATGAATGCACTCATTAATTTAGAAGGACATTATTTTAACGCCATAAAAAAATAATCACCTGATGATTTATGACCATTTTGACACGCAACTGCTGCAAAAAGCACATTCGAGTGAAAAGCACATTTGCATCGCCAAAATCAATATAATTGAGAATTCTAAGCTGTCGAAGCAAGATCTACGTGATAGTATAAATAGGGGAAAAAAAACGGAATGCGGAAGGCAAGCTACAAAAAGAAGCATGGAAGTAATTGTATAAACAAAGATCTCCCATTTTTGGAACTGAGGAAAGGTTATAAAATCGATTATAAACTAACTTTGGCTTTTTCGCCATCTACACAAATAGACAATTCGACTAACCACCACCACCACCGCCCAGAGTGCCCAAAGGTAAGACGTGCACATTGCTTTCCTCCCTTTAAATAAACACTTAGGGAATTTTATCCAAGTTGCTGTATAATAATGCCATGCATTTTGAACTTGGCAAAGCACAGAAATTGGATTACAGAAGTCAAGTGAATAAATAGTATTCAATAGCTCCATGTCCATATATATATATATATATATATATTCAAAACAAACGAAAACATCTCACTATAGAGGACTGGCTGGCATGGGATTGACACCGTCAAAACACACATCCACTACAAGAAGCGTCATAATTTAGATGCAGACGGCATTTTGGAATAATTTAAAAATAGAACACCGAAAAAGAGCCTTCATTTAACCTACTGAGTGCATCAAATTCTCAAGAAATCCAATAGTGTATTTAAAGAATAGAGACTTTTACTGCACCAGAGGCTTTACTATATAGACACCACTTCCTACACCAAACTCAATAGAACTCAAAACACAACCTACCAAGAAAGATGACATCGCTGCAATCGATCGCCGTATAGGAAGATGGTTGAATGCCCCAATTTGCAGGGACAATGAGATGTAAGCCAAGGGGAAGAGAGGGTTGTGATTGAGCCGAGGAGTTGGGATTTTGAAGTCGGAGACGAGGCAAGTCGTCAGAGGAGAGTTGACGAAGGACTAGGCGGCGTTGTGGACGAACACCAACCAAGGGCTGTTCCGATGCTCCACTAGCTAGAGCAGCGTCTCGAGCACGTTGGTGGGATTGGTAATCAGCTCGAGTGCAGACTGCTACGTCGGCTTCAAGGGAGGAAGTTGAAGACTTGAAAGAAGAGAAGTAAAAATATATAATGAGTCTGATACCGTTACGCCACCTCTTGCCAAATGCCCATTTACCAACCCCACAACCGTTGCGTAGTTTTGAAATTTTATGACAAATTTGTTAGTTATGAATAGAAATTCGCGAGATTGGAACTGAAGGGAACTAACCTAACATGGTATCATCTCCATTCGTGAAATACAAATGTGCATTTTTTTTTAAAAAAATTGAAATTTCAGCATCTCTAATTCTCGAGATTTAATAATTAGAACTTTCAAAGAAAAAAAACTAGCAAACCAGATTTTTTTCAAAATAATCTAGAATAATCTAGGAATGACCCTTAATAAATTATAATTGTCATTGCATACTCACGTAGCAATAATAAGGATTTTGATGCTGAAAAGTGAATACTAGCCCATTATTTGCAAGTAGCATTAACGCAGACAGTACCAGCTTTAAAGACCTCGATTTGAGAGATGGCGTGAAATATTTAGCAAAATGACATTCATCATTCTAATTAAGATGAATTAAGGTGTGTAGACAGACGGATTGTCTATGCATAGGAAGTAAGCATAACTACATAACACACCCCATGTATTAAAACACCCTACTCAAGAACAACGCTTTTGGAGACGTAAAAGAAATAGCAAGTATAGATGTGTAGCATCACTGAGTAAGTCCGACAACTTCTAACAAAAAGAAATAGGACCTAACAAATGAAGTTGATGATTCCACGCACACAATGCGCGTGATAAATCAGTGGACCAAGCCGATACTCGCTCCTGTGCAATAACCTAACGTGTATAAACAAAGGATGGCGAATTGTTGTTTGCGGGTAGGAGTCATGATTATCTAGAACGTTTAACGATCAATTGAGATGACAAAAAAAATCCGGAACAAAGTGACGATAGATTATTAAAATGGCATGGAATGGCCGATAGTAGTAACTTGGACACTAGTTAGACGTCTTTAAACTAGAGTTGATTGATTAGAAATACCAGATTGAGTATCTTTAATCATTGGTGCGAGATAGACTTACCTCGCGACGTAGTGTCTACTTATAGGGCAAAAAAGTCTATAAACCGGCAGTTCACTTCTGACTTCAAATTACCATGGTCGACTGTACCTCATATTCGATCACTCCCACAATACCCAACTCACCTTCTTCTCTATCTCTGTGTCTGTCTCTCTTACATCTGTAAATCACTCGCTTGTTCTCCCTCTCGACTTTTTATGAAGTCGATGCTCCTCCCCTCTGTGAAGCCCGAAGTCAACAAAAGGGCTAACATTTGACATAAAATATCTTCAACCAGCTCTATTGAATGAAAGTTAATACGACACAGCGCCACGATAGGAATTCAAGTAAAACCAACTTGAATTTACAGCCAAAGAAGTGGGAACAGAAGCTCAGACCAACCAAAATTTTATTAGCTCAACTTATTTTTCCTCTCTTACAAAAATTTCAACCAATCATAGAAAAGCATCTCAAGACAAAAAATACAAACTCGAAATATAACTATTGGAAAAGTTACTTAAATTAATTAAAGTGTTTACAAGCTTTATCACGACATTTTTGAGGTTCGATAAAAAAAATAGAAGGCAAAAAAACGGAAATCCAAAAAGTGGCGATGTAAACAACGAGGCATCAAAATTTCACGAAAAGGTCAAAAGAGCAGGTCGAGCGAAAATGTAATAAAGGGATGTAGCAATTAAGTTGAGGAAAAAACGCTATAGGAGAGGGAACGAATGCCAGACACTAGCCCCCCCCCCCCTCCCAACTCCCTCCCCACACACCACCACCCGGTTAATGGAACATTGTGTCAAACGCACACCATGTAAGCTTCAGTGAAGCAATAGTCACGCACTTAAGGCCAACCACAAATGGTCGTCAAAACATAGCTAAACACACTTTTGCACTTAACTAGGTAACAGATGGGAAAATATGTTCAGTTTTATTTTAGATAATGGAATTTGGGCCCGTAGAAAACTGCGAAAAGGAATATGCTGACAAGGGGACTAAAACATCCGAGACACCTCTGTTCAAAATACTTTCCTTAAATGGATTTGGAACAAATGTAGATAGTGTAACGATACACACGACCGTGTCGCCTCTAGATAAGTGAAAAAAATACGAAATACTTTATTTGGGATGAATTTTTGGGCCCATTAATTGGCTGCGGAAAAAGCTTTACTTGAAACAACATTTTATCTTAGACCTATGTTCCATAACCTGCCAATTGACCAATGACTGTTGGAAGGAACCATGGTAAATCTAAAAGCTGGTTTAGGGGCAAGAAGAGCGTGGATATCTTCTTAGAAACCTATTCCGTAAATTGGAACTAATTGATGAGATGAAGAGATAAAATGCAAATTGAAAAAAAGGCCCAATTATCCCCAGCGCAAATAAAGCCAATCGATTTAAGACTAGATCGAATGAATTGCAAAACGGTCGAATATATCGAAGGCAAATGCTTATAGTATATATATAAGGGTATATAAAGGTATTCTTTATAACAAAGTAAAAATTCAATGCTAAGGTGGAGCAAATCTAGACCACTGGAAAGTAAACGTAAATTAACTAATACACGCTTAAATTCGCAAACAAGAAGTACAAGTGAATCAGAAGTTAATACGAATATCAAAGAGATAGTAGTATGACGTAACGCTTTCAAGTAGGCACTGACCCAAGACTGGCAGGGGGTGGGGTACCCATCGATGACTCCAAAGAAGACAGTGAGTAAGAACAAGTCGAGGTATTAAGAATTGATTCAGTCTTTGTGCACAAAAAAAAACGTGTGCTACGCCTACGCTGTAGCAAAGAGAACAACATCGACCTGATGATCAGGGCTGTCACAAATCGATGGGTTTGGATTAAAGCAACGTAACTGAACCTTAAATGCTAAAAGGGTAATCAGTAAGATAACAGAGTTAAAATTAAGGTCCCAAAGCCATTAAAACTGCCACAATCTCGAGTGTTGCAAGTCGCTGCAAATTCGAAAACCATTCTATGAGCCTAATTACGTACTAAAACCAAAGAAATGATAGCAATATTAACCTCCGTATCGATTTTCTAGAAAAAAAATTCAACTAATTACCAAAATTAATCCAATGAGGCAGTTTATTGCAGTGTTTAATATTCTGGCCACAAAAATGCTGCACAAAAATGAACAATTTATATCTACAAAATAACAAATTAGAAAAATTATTGTTAAATATTTCATAATACTTTCATTCAAGAGTTGTTATCTTGCGGAGTTATTGAGCCAAAAAAATAACCTTCAAGGTTTATTGAGTTCTAGAATTTGTGGCAAAATATAAACCTGTTTCACTTCAACTCAAGCAAATTCAGAAGTCTTCACATATCTGCCAATGTTTCAACTTGAAAGCTTGAATTAAATTCGCATTTTAACATAAGGCATTCATTAAAATCTAGCCAAAATTCGATTGCAAACTAGTAGGATATCGCGAAGCGTCAATCGTCTATTTACAAATATTTGATCAAATAATGGAAGCTAAAGTACCGAGATAGAGAAGAAACAATGCACAAAGAATCTACCAATAGAGTGGGGGGGGGGGAGGGCAAGGAGAGAGTAGTATCCATGGTATTCACCTCCTTGTACATAAAGTTAATCATCTGAGTAATACAAGAAACGAATCGCCTTAGTGTTTTAAAAAGGCCCACTGTTATGAGGTAAACTACACTTGCCCAGACCACTGAGAGAGAGAGAGAGATATATTTAACGGGATAAAGCTAACTTGGTAAGCAGGAAACTATTGAATGACTATGGTTTGCGGCGAAGTGATCGTGTGAAGAAGGTTAAGCAAACAATTGGATGCATTGGAACACGATTGGAAAAATATTGGACCCATTAATGAATAGCCACGGAGTACCATTATGTCGAGAGCACTAAAAGTAATGGCATGAAATTGACAACTGAAATTGAGTAAAAAGGTTCATAAAGGGGTAATGGGAAGGAGGCAAAAATAAAGAGAGAAAAAACTCAGAGTTCAATTAGCGTTTTAGCTGATCTGATTTTTGGACCAGGGTCGTTTAAAAATTAACTGATGGATAGATTAGTGCTTCATGGGGTAAGATATTCACAACTCACATTTTATGACCCAATAAAGCCTAAAAACTGGACAGAAATATAACAAAATCAAGGACACCCGAGAGGGGGGGGGGAGGGGAAAGCTGTCTACCTATTCAACTCCACCTGGCAATGTCACTATGTGATTAACACACATTTGATAAAGACATGTACACAGACACAAGCATGAATTATTGGCACACATGTTGAGATTGTGCACATTCGCAGTGAATTTACAAGAGAACCCACCGAGGAAGCGAAGTGGAATGTGTATTTTTTGGAAAGAAAGTTACATATCTAATTCACGCGATCTTGCTGATGTTGGCCCAATTGTGTTGTTGATGCAAAGAAGCGAAAATAAACAGCAAAGGACAAATGCGAATTTAAAGCGAATCCAATCATAAATCGCATAAAAAACCGATACAAACAAGAAAACACGCGTATTTTAAATTCCAAATGCAAACTTTGCCTTCAACTGAGACTTTTGACCGGAGTGAAGGGACATAAGCGGACCTCACAATCGCCACCGATTTCCACACTGAAAGAGCATTAGTAAATCGCGTACTTATTTGTAATTTTTCATTATTAATAAGTATGAAACTACTTAATGACATTCCATATCACCATTGTCAAGTTAGAGATGTAGTCACCTGAACATGCACGAGGGAAAGAAACCAAACATTTGAGATATATCAATCGACTTTGAACCATGAAATCGGGAGAAATAGACTACTTCAGAACCCAAATAAAGCACAACTCCGCAGACCGCCTTGAGTGAAGTAAAAAATAAAACTCTCATTTCAAGAGCAGCTGAAACTGAACATGATTATTTGCTTATGGAATAATGGTTAAATGCAGGTGCTCTTAGGTAGATCTGAAATGATACGATGTAAGTAAAGCATCAAATAAGCGCTACTGAAATATTACGGAGATTCAAGTGCACCGCTATAAAAAAAAGTACAGATAACTTCATTTTTAACCTCGATATCCTATTCAGATTCAACAATTTTTACACCATGGAGATAAGCGCTGTTCAAGCAAACAACAAGAATATAGTCATTGTTTTTATTTATTTGCAGATTCCATTAGTTAGGCACAAGTTAGGGAAAGTCTGTACTTTAAAGTCTAATCAAAGCTGTCAATTTTAAGCAGTGCCTGTTCTAGATGTTTGTGAGAGGTAACCAATCACCGCTGGCGTTTTAACACCAGTGAAATACAGAATTAACTCTAAATTGAATTATGAAAATCGCTAGAGCAAATCCGCGCCAACGTCGGTCATATATAAAGCAAACCAGATCAAATAAAAAAAACTGAATAGAAGAAGCTGAACGAAGTTGGCAGATCTCGCCATGTATACTCATTAGCCAATTATTAAATCGCCTCACACTTAGAATGGAAAGAAAGTGCACAACTGCTGTGATTATTAGCTAAAAGGATAGGCGATTAGTTTTAAGGACCCATAAAATATTTCCTTAATTATGGAACTGTTGTGCCGTCAGAGAATGGCCAACAATAACCACCCTGCATTATAAAGGAGGGAAACTAACAGTATCACAAAGGTAACCAGGTTGTTTCAAGGCGAAATAATGCTGAAACATTAAACCAGCATGGAAGAGACCTGACTCCCCCCCCCCCGCCCCTTGTACCTTTAAAATGAACGAGATTAGCCAGTTTAAGGGAGTAGAGCAGAAACTCATTTTGGAGAGCTGTTTTGGAGTTTAATCGAAGACTAAATCAACAGAAGAGAATTGTTTTTAGAAAAAAATTATTCCAATATAAGTGAAACACAGCAGTGCAATAAAAGAAGACCATATTCGAATTTATAGAAAAATTTTCTAAAATCGAACTGCTTGTGTTATTTTGATGCGTGGATCTATCTATCTATCTAAGTCGACATCTGGCTCCCACGTTACTAACACATGTGTGTTCATTTACCAAGTTACTTCCATTTAAAATCACCTAAAATGGATACATCCAATTTAATTGTCTTACATAACCCTCTAAACTTTACAAGGCGTGCTTGCGGTTTAAAATTACTCGAATCAGATGCTAATGGGAAGACCAATGACTCGATACTCACCGTTCCATTCTCCGATGTTTTGGTATTGTAAGTGATAGCCTCAGAGTCGGCTCCATTGTGAGTTGCCATGAGAGCGACACGTCGAGCAGACGTCCACGAACGCGACCCAACACCCGTTTCATTCGAAGTCGCAGCTCCAGTAGCAACAGAACTTTTGTTGTTAGTTCGTAGGCTGCTGACGACAGATCGATCAGAGCCGTTCTCCGTTACAACGTGATCAATAGCGTACCACTGTTCCACTGGTTTGCCCATCTGTTCAAGAACTTTTCTGCAAATGAGAAGGGGGGAATATGAGGTCATTTAGGCGGGGACGAAACAAAGATTGTGGAATAGAATCCACGTCTGCTAGAGGGCAAAATGACATCTTAGTGTAAAAATAACATTTAAAACGCGCATAAACAGATCTCTTGAACCTAAGCAATGTCTGGACTATTGAAAACTAGTTTATTGATTGACAACTAAATAGAAGGATACTGTAGAAACTAAAATTTAAGAAAATACATTTGTTACAAATAAATAATTTAATAAGGATAATGCACAATTCTAAAACCTTAATGAATGCCCATCTAGTGATTTTATGAAAGAATCACATTTACAAAATGGCTCTCATACCAAAATATCTAGTGTAAGATCGCAGAAAGTATACTTTGACCTCAAATTTGCAATATGCAAAACGGAATCACTTAGGTAGAGAAAGCGTTTGCAAAAGGTCTTAGAGAACCGAATTCAGAGCCATTATGAAGTAAATGAGAGATTTCAGCAAATGGGATCGTACAATCTACTTTGATGAGCAGTAAGTAACTATTTCTGGAAACTTCCAGTTAATTAAATAATTAATAAATAAAATGAAATTAATTTCCAATTAGTGTTAGCAAATATGCTTAGTTAGGTATTAGTGGTATGATTGCGCAATTGTTAACCGAATTCTTTCTTCCCAGCTTTTGGCAGCGAACACAATCAAGAGTTGAACTGAACAAAAGTAGGTGATAGAATATAGTTTTACAAGAAGAAAGAGGAGGATAGACTGTAACCAGGTCAGCAAGCTGAGATTTTGTTTAAATGGTGGAATTTGATTACGGAGGTCACATAAACGCGAATGACCTTCTCACTGTAGTCTATTACTACACATGACGACATCACTCGATCTGGTCAATTTGACACGCCTAGTGGAGATGAACAGGTGGGGCAAAGTTTATTCGGGTTTTATAAAAGAAAAATTAGATTGATAAACCATTGAGCAAACATTTGAGGACCAGGAAAAGTTACTACCAACAGCTAATCCAATTAATGCAACGGAAGAGGAAACCGTTCCTGTCTACCCTAAATTTGAATATACGAATTACAAATGTTTCCACTTTATTTACTGTGAGCCCTAAAATAGACCATTAGCCAACTAATGGACATAATGGAACATGCAAATGAAGTCAACGTATGACTAATCCTAAATTCCAACTCCATGTTATTGGCGACAATCTTAGAGACCAACTTGATATTAGTTGGTGTTTGAAGCATTTGAAGAGGGTCAAAAGTGCAGATGCAGTAATGAATGACCCAAGACACTATAACATGTTCTTACACGGCAGTGTACCCCCGTTGACGTCCATTCATTTGTATTTCAAATAAACTAGGGTGCATCTACCAGGCATGATCTTATTCTCATTCATACGTGTTAGGACAAGGTTACACGCACACGTGGATGTGGTAGTAGCTGCACCAACCATGTGACGCAAGGTATTGTAACGTTTGGTGTTGAGATAATTTGACCCTAGAAGTCCATAGGAGACTGAAATGAGTGCCACAGTATTGATTAACACAGGAAGAGACATAAATAGTTAGATTAAGATCTTGGTAATGTCTAACAGATGTGGTCGGAGTATATTAACATTGGTGAACACCTAGTGACACAGTGACACCATTGTACATAAAAAACATTAAGCCCTGAGAATTTCTAAACTAAGATGACATTGAACTATTAATGTTATTTCTGTGTGATAAACAACCAGACACTGGCTTAAGTGGGTGAAAGTGGTGACAGGAGTTTTAGTTAAGCGTTTATTTATGGCGTTGGGCATTAACTCGAGTAAGAAGAGAAAGTAAAACAATAAGCATCAAGAAAACCGCCTTTCCATTAGCTCGAATACTACTAGTTGCCTCTATGGCCTCCATGACTCTTAAGATTTTCGTGAAGGCAAAAATGTGCATGACCCCTCTAAGTTAGATTTGGATTTAACTGCAACAATAACATTCGATCTCCCTAAATCCCCATTTGCTCAAAAAATACAAGGGAAGCATCCGTTTTATAGGAAACAAGTAAAGAGAATAAACACGTCATCATACTCCACAATTAGCATTAAAATTTTCGTACGACGCTACGATGTCGCATCATTTCAAAACCACCATTGGAATCGGCTCAAGTTAGTTATTCGAATTCAAACAACTTCTTAATGAAATAACAAAAATAAATACTTCCTCTCCATCACTCCAACTCAAATACACTGAAAGATATCGCTTGCCAAAACACTTTTAGTCACTTATACGGTCGCCAAACCACAATTTATCATAATTTTAATAGGCCCCCATTAATGTTCAAAAGTTTCTATGCAATAATTTGAGCTATATCAATTTAAACAAAACTCAAATAATGAAAATAAAAAACCGATTCAAAGTAAAGTAGACCAACAGACGTCAGGTATGCACTATACCATTCGTTCTGCATAGTGCACAAATAATAACACATTGGACAGAACACGAAAGAGTGCAATGATGGAAATAATGCTTCCAAACTTATTTATTTCAAATGGCAGGCGTTTGATAGCTATCATTACCCCTTTAGCTGACTTCGGGCTTCACAGAAGAAAGAACATCAAAGTAATAGAAAATCGAGGGGTGAAAAACAGAAGAGTGATTCACAGATGTAAGAGAGACAGACAAAGGCAGAGAAAAGGTAAGATGAGTATTATTGAAGTGGCCGAATATGACATTCGGTGGGATCATGGTAATTGGAAGTCAGAAGTAAACTGCCAATTAATAGACCTTTTGCCGTATGAGAATACGTTGTCCAAGGTGTGCCACGTGGAGGTAAGTCTATCGCACACCCCTGCTACCAAACTTAAACTTGATTATTCTTTCGAATAAAAATAGAACCAAAGGTTCATCTTCAAGATGACAGTCCATGGACATTCCAGGAGTTAAATTGGCTATTCAAAGTTAAAGCAATAAAGCATATCAGAAATTATTAACATGCACAATCACCCATCACTTGCTGAAATAACACAAAAAACGATAGTTTCATTTCAAAAGAAGAACTATCAGTATGTTTAAAAATTTAGGAAAACAATAATAATAAGAGTAAGTAGCTCGCCACTATGAAGCAATACGAAAGTTCGAAGCAAAATCTAGAAGTAAGCCACTTAGTGCACGCGAAACTATTCTCCTGATCACCCTAATTCTAGAAAGACCAATTGGAAGCAAAAAATTGATTCTGCGGCATTAAGTTTTTTTTCAAACAGTTCGCTTGCCTTCTCCGTATGATTTCATCCAAATTTGGAACTCAATTGGAGAGTTCACTCAGCCAATGACTCACACACACACACACACACACACACACACACACACACACGATGAGTCAAGTCAGAAAAATACATATTCTCCAACATACATGCTGCCAAGATCTGGGATGGAGAAAAGGGGTAAAGAAGAAAACGAAATTGAGACGAGAATAAATATAAGCATTGGGAAGGAAGTAGGGAATTCTATTAAGCAAAACGCAACACTACCAAATAATTCCAATCTATTTACCGCAGTTAAGTTTGACAAGTGAATGAAAGAATATTGATCATTTTCGTTTGTGTTCGGTTGTTAAACAATTTTTGATAAAATTGATGTCCCTATCTGACGATTATCAATAATGCCAAGAATACGGAATATACCCCACGTGGAGGTAAGTCTATCGCACACCCCATATACCCCCACTTAAAATACTTGAATTTGCATCGGTTTAAGTAGAAATTCTTTACCTTCCTTTCGGTGTTGTCTTGCCATCTCTTAGGATCCTACCACAAATCAAAATGTAATTAAAAGATGCTTCAACGTCCTTTAACCATTCCACATCTGATAAACTCTATTGTATGCATGATAAAGAAGGTATTTATATCAAATAGCAGGCGTTTTGAGAGTTATCAATAGCCCTTTAGCTGACTTTGGGGCTACACAGTGAGGAGGAGGAACATCAAAGTGAAAAAAAGTGGGGAGGGGGAACAGAAGAGTGATTCACATATGTAAAAGGGGCAAACAGACAGAAAAGGTAAGATAAGTACTTTGAAAGGGGTCGAATATGACAAACAGTCGGGTCATAGTAGTTAGAAGTCAACTTCCGATCAATAGACTTTTTGGCCGTATGAGAATACGTTGTCCAGGGTGAACCACGTGGAGGTAAGTCTATCGCACACCCCATGATAAAGAAGGTATGAATTAGTATTCGTGGAGAATCGTAGCATGTGGAATGAGTAGAAGAGAAACAACCCATTTCGTACAAGTCGGTAATAGTAAAGTTCATATAATAATTCTACATTAGGGAAATGCTAAGTGGGCAAACGCTTGTAATGTAAAACACAGTGAATAGGATTTTCAAAATGACCAATTATAGAGCAGATGGAGACAATGGAATGAGTGCAATAATGGGCAAAACGAAAGTATTAAAAATTGAGACAGACTATACAGGTTTTCAAGAGATGGAATTGATCTTTCCGACGATACATAATGGCGTGGATTGACCCGACGAAATAGCTGGCATAAAATGGAATATATCAAAGTAATCTTGCATCGAAATCGGGATTAAAGTCTGGCGGGAGGGATGAAAATCGAATAGCCGAGTTTAGCATTAACAGAATTTGACTACGTCGAATAATTATAGAGACCTAGAAAGAAGTCCAATAATAAATGCCACTATAGGCAAAATAAATAGCCAAATAAAAGAATAATTATTTGTGAAATTATATGCAATAAACTGGGGTGCGCGAGAGATTTGCCTCCAAGTGGTGCACCTTGAGCAACGTATACTCAAATAAGGCCAAAAAAGTCTATAAACCGGCAGTCGACTTCTCAATTCAAGCTACCATGACCCAACACTATGTCACATTCGACTACTACCCCAGTATTCATCCTGCCTTACTATTTTCTCTACCTTTGTGTCTGTCTGTCTCTTTTACATATGTGAATCACTCACCTCTTACCCCCCCCCCCTCCCCCCATCCCTGTCGACATTTTGTGATTTTGATGTTCCTCTCCTCTGTGAAGCCCGAAGTCAAATAAAGGGCTAATGGCAACTATCACAATGCCCGCCATTTGATATATATCAATATGTTTTAAAGTGACAAGTATAGATATCAAATATGAACACATTTTGTGGACTGAACAATCTTATTTCCAAGGAAAATATTAAAAAGGGTACAAAATGTCGGCATACTCATCTAGAAATGCAAAACAAGACCATGGATATAATTTCCAATGAACAGCAAAAAAAAAGATGCGTAAATGAAAAGCAGTTAAGATAAAGACGAAGAGAAAAGTCGACTTCACACTCAATTGAGCTCACACACACAATTGAGACACTCACTTTGATCATTTGCCACAGAAAAAATTATCCCAGAAGTAACTAAACATAATTTAAATTCGACTTCTCCATTTAGAGGAGAAAAGGGAACTTAATTGCCAAGTTACCTAACCAGAACACCGAGGTCAACACTTTAGTGAGTCGAAACAGCGTTAAAACCAGGTAGAAAATCCAAAACACATAAGAATAAAAAATATCGATAGAAAACTCAACGTGATAATCTTTACTAGCAAGCAGATGCTATTGAGTGCATTTGCAAACACTTGTTCGCACCAATGTCACACCTCTCTGCTACCTTAAACAAACGAAACAATTTCTTCTAAAGAAGTATACGAATAGAATGTTTGAGATCAAAATTGTACTCAATTTATGTCAAGTTCGTATAGAGCATAGGAAGTAGACAATAGGGTGCAAAGCTTTCAAGTTTGAGTTCAAGAAAGAGAGCTCCGCGAGACGTAAACCGTAATCTGGTTCAAGCAGTTTCTTAAACCACCCGAACCTCCACTGCAGAACGGCTGGCCTTGAGTTTTGACAGACAGCTTCTGTCGGCACATGCATAAGTCTTTCAGATTTTTTTGTGCAGTCATTTATAAGAATCGACATGTCGAAGGGGAGTTAAACCAAACACTACTATCGAAAGCACCACAAGGAAGGAACAATGACTACATTGTTGATTCACTATCTCTCCCACAGAATCACCCCCCCCCCACCAACCACTGGCCGGCTTAACACACAAATATTAAGTGCACACAGCCATTTACTCAACTCTTGAAGCGGCATAGCAACTTTTGCATTTACCAAAACGCGCGCATACACATAGATTTGGCAAGCGAGTGCGCAAGCTCCCTCTACAGTCATTAATTACAAATGCCTCGTGAATCCACCCGAAAGTTGAAATAAGATAAAAATAATCAAATAACTAATAATCCGCGAAAGTTCGGACACACATAATAAAATAGGAGATGAAACTACTGCGCTCTTATTGTTTAGCAAAATATCAAGACATATGAGAAGGCTCATTCAATATGATAGTCGCAATAAATACAGCAGAGAATGTTCCACATGCATATACTACTGAAACATAAGCGAATACAATTGAGGAGAGCCGAGTTGATAGGAAGACTACCAGACGGTGAATTACGGTAATGAAAAAAATTAAATTTAGGCCAATAGTAAATTACAGATTAGAATTCTGAGTCCATTAAGGACCTGGTAGATGGTAGGTATCTTGGATCTTGCATTCTGCTATTCCTCCTTTCAAAGCGGTTGACCAACCAATCACTAGGAGGGAATCGACTTGACAAAATTTACACGTTGACCATTAAGCTATCGATTTGACTATCCATTAATTTAGTTTAGAACTATTGCAAGAGCATAAATAACCAGTCGGCTCTACCACATATACACACAAACTACCGATATTCTGTTCCATTCAGACAACGTGGAATAGTGCTAAAGCACGGCAAACGGCCTATTTTAGCGAAGATTAAAAAAATGGAATAATGAAAGTTTGAACCAAAAAAGAGAATAGGAGATAATGTGTAAATTGCACAAGGGGATCTTAATTTAGCATTTGTCAAACGCTAATTCTATTAGATTAGAACTGAATTTCGAAACCTGCACACTTTTGCATTTTGCCTAAATAGCGTAGCCTTACAAGCGTAAAGCAGTCCGATGATGATGATGATGATGATGGAAGGAGGTGAAATTGACGAGTTGGGAAGAATATCGAGTTTGCTTTCATTTGGGCTATGGATCTTACTATTTGGGCAAGTTTCAATCAGCTTTGTCGAAGTCACCTAAGGTTTGATTTACAGAAGGCTTTCATACCCATAACGTTCACAAGTCGTTAACCAGGTAAAGCAATAGTAGCAAGTTATTACTACCTGAAATGACTCTAAAATGACAGCGGCCACTGTGTAACAATAGCAGCTTTAATTGTAATGAAACTAGATGTAATTGATCTTGTTAGAAAAAAAGTAAATAATGCCATTTGTTGCATTTAAAGCACTTTCCACAAATGCACAAAATAGTGAAATCAGACAAGGCGGGAATTTCGCTCATTCCTCTGCTTATTGGCAGCTAAAATTTTGTTTGAGAAAAATGAAACAGAGTTCGCACATGCAGTTCACAAAAACCCAAAATAAGCATCAGCCTACAGCCATCTGAACTGTGAGCAAACAAAATATTAACACAAAAAAATAGAAAAAAAAAACATTTTGATAAATAGACTGCATAGAAAATGACAGTAGATAAGGCGATGAAAAGGGTCCAATCCCAATGCGTAGATTCTGATAATAACTATGTGGATTAAAACTACTTACCAGTGGTAAGCAAATACTTTTCTCAAATTACTTGAATGAAAGTATTTGAGAACTAATTAGCAGCAGTAAAGATGCCTGAGAAGTGTAGATTTAACCAACAAGGACACTGTTCACAGACGTTAGAGGTATGTAGGCAAAGATCTGAGGGCAAGATGCCTCTCGGTGACCGATTTGACTGCATTGGCTGGGGTTGGCCAATAAAGCTCCACCTACCACCTTTTTTTATCGAAAATGAGTGGTGAAAGATACTTTTAGGGAGATTATTTTACGACTCTTCAAATTCACTTTTACACCAAACGATTATTTTTGAGCCAAAATTAAGGAAAAAACCAACCAACATGTAATCACTTACAAATTTTGACATAAATGAGACCGACTAACGCAAATTTAAACAATCTCAAAACAAGCCCTAGTTGAACCCCAGTTAATTAACTCAGCAAATGCTGCTACCACTCATCTCACACAACAAATACACATTATCCATTATTTGATTTACGACAATATTAATGATAAGTCCATCAAATTAACACTCCAAGGGAGCATTAAAACGCAAACGCATAAATATAGAAAAGGGAAACACTCACGGATCCTTGGGAAGGTCGCAAAAAGCTCCGCGAAATCGGGCGAGAGGTTCTTGTAGGAGGCACCAGGATTGGGGCATGCACGTAGCTTCCACATGTCGTGCTAGAGCGCTGGTCTTGGTGAGTTCTGCTATACTTGTACTTGGCGGTGCCCCACCTACAGTATGATACTGCGTTCGGTTGAGCCGCACAATCTGAAAGAAGAGTATTAACTGTGAATTTCGTCAAGTTTAAATGAACCAAACTACATCAAACCAAATTCAACCCCTTTCAATAGTGACGAGTACTTTGATACAAATTAATAACATTTCTGAAAATTGACAGCATTCACTTCCAATAAAATTGTCAAGATGCTACTTATCAGAGATTAGAGTAGATAAATGGAATTTTGACAAGCTTTTCATTCAACCAACATAAAAAAGTGAAATATAAGAATATGAAGAGGAAAGACAAATAGCGTACATTTCGTTGTAAGAGAAAAAAAAACAAAAGATTTAATCGGACCTATTAAAAAGTGGTTGATCTCAAAAAAAAAATAATAAAAAATGGGAGCTTGGCGAAAAGAATTTTTAGGTCAAGAAATTAAGCAAAATTAAATCGATTGCAAATCGGTTAAAAAAGGAAAAAAATGATAAGACCGAGAACGAATTTACCATTAGTTGAAGAACTATGAAAGCATCGTGAGAATTTAAACTTGACACCTTGGAGAGAATTGCGAGGAGACAAAACTACCAAGACACGTATTTCATAAGCATATAGATCAGATGATTAGAGTAAATAAAGATGATCATCACAGATGTGTTTATGACATTTAAAAAATCCTTCACCGTGATCATATTGATGAACAAATGATTATCTAACGAAATAGGCAATAAAAGTGACCACCAAGACTCTCAAACTGACAACATGTTGTCTTTTACAAAAAAAGAATAAACATAAATTACATAGCAATAAAATAATAGATAGATGAAACTTTAAATTGATAAAATATAGAATTTCTAACAATTGAAACCTGTTGCTTACACGAATTAGATTAGATTATTGGGCTTACGACTTTTGTATAAGTTTATTTGATAACCTTCCCTTAGGAGAATACTGAGAAACCAAACGGTTATTAGGACAGCGTGAAGCTGAAATATCCTTATTTACGTAATGAGATTGCTGTCCAAAGTAGCGTGGAATGGAAATATTAATCAACACTTTAAGCCCTCCAAAAAGACGTTGAAGTTAGAGATTTTTATTGACTTTAGTTTACCGAATAAGGTCGAAAAAATACAGATCTATTAATTTGATCGATTTCGACAAAGAAATTAATGGCCTGTGCCATCCGAGATCGAAGAAATATAGTTTGCTGAACTAAAATATCAATGATGTGATGTGGTGAAGTTGATCAGAGACACCGCCCTTAAATCTAAGACCGTTCAACTCTTATCTAAACAGAAGTTACATTTTTAATATTCCTCAAAGAAGCAAGTTACGCAAAGTTTTAAAACCCCTGATTTCAGTCCTTAAACTGTTTGACACAAGTTCGAAACAACTACAGAGTATTAAAACTGACCTTAGAGATAACAAATAATGCCGAATAATTCATTGGTCTTTGCTGGTAAACTTTAATTAACATTGACTCGAATATGATTAATAAAAATTCAATTTTCTAATGGGAAGGAATATATGACACATTGATACTAATTGTGTAACAGAACACTATAAGCTTGTAGTTTGTTAAAAAAAGAAAAATCTAAATTCCAATAGGGAAAAAACGAACCATTTAATCAATAGAAAATCACCAAGTACAGAACAAAATTACAAATAGCAAAAAATAGCAAGTGCATAATTAAATACAAACCTTGACTTCATCGGAGGGGAAAAGCACTAAATCGCGATGGGGATCATTCATAATGCTGGCTTTATTCCGAATTATATACTGCTCATAATCTATGGGTTCACTAACGCAAGAAATTTTCTAAAAATAGAACAAATTTATACTACAAGCAAACACTCGAAACAAGATCACAAACAGGTGGGAAATTTTAAATATTTATACCAAAAAAGTTTTAAAAACAGTGAAAAAGGACTTACTAAATAAGAAAACGAATCTTCGGTTGAAAATTCATTATCAACCGATTTGTGACTCATATATCCTCCATGAGTTAATTGCTTAACAAATTTTCTCTGTTTAGACATGCTTAACTAAACTCTTTATGTCTGTATGGAGACAATTTTCCTTTTAAAAATAATTTTGTTCAGGTATATTAACAATAAAATCCGAAGTCGTATAATGAATTAGCAGCAAGCTATAAACGCGCTGAAACACAGAACGTGATGATAAAGCCTACTGATTTCATAAGTTCATAACTTTCCAGAATAACCAAAACAAATAATTTAAATGAAGTGAATCACCAGTTCTGTAAAGGAAATGTAATTAATTAAATATATTTTTCCTAAATATAATTTATTTAATATTCTAATATCAATGTAAAGGCATTATTGGAATCAAAAGGGATTGTAGGCCATTGGTCTTTCCTTACTCAAGTGTGATTTATGTGGCCTCAAATTTTCTAAGCAGTACTGGCAACACCTATTGTAATTATAAAGAAAATAATTCACTCTTTTTCATTTGTTTATTCTACGTACACATTAAAAATTAATCGCTCGACTCCAATCACATAATGAAAGGCAATTGAATTGGATTAAGTTTTTACGATTTAGCTATCGAATAGTGTGCATTGTTTGTTTTGGAATCTAGGTGCGCTATATGTTCGGGTTTAAACGCAGTGTAACGTTTCAGTAGAAAGCATAGCACCATCAACTGATGCGAAATTCCGAAAACTCTTGGACCCACCCAAGTTACTTTCTCCATCACTCTATTAGAATACCAAGAAATAGATTTATTGCAGATTCTATACTCAAGCATTTAGAAAAGCGACGATTATCCTAAGGTATTGGAAAAATGTGTTCAAATTTTATCAAATAATTAAATTGTCGTTATATTATTATCTAGAGAAAAATTTTTACATTATCTTAATGAGCATCCACATCTAATTCTGGCTTATTGCGCAAACACAAAGGACTGAATAACAAAATGGATGACTCGGTGTTATTAATTCTACATCATTCTTTTTAATCTTCATAACTTTCTGATGTATTTTAATTTAAACGCATTTCTACCGGTTATCAACCGATTATTAATTGAACTAATGCGATCTTTATAAAATTGTCAAATACACATTTTTTCATTTTCAATTTGGGCAGCTACCATATGGAAAAATTAAAAGGCGATCGAATGGACTAATGGTAGTATATAGTAGGTGAAATTAGCATAGTTAGACGAATTTAGTTTGGTAAAATGCTCGAAATATCTCTTTATACCAACTAAAGCTAAATTTCGGAGATATCTTTTTGCTGCACTAGTGTTGTAACTTGAAATCTGTTACTAATTTAAGTTTGTTTTAGCTGAAATGTTAAAAACCTGGCTCATAATAAGGCATGGCGAGTTTTATAATAGATAATCAAAGAATGTGAACGTCAATTTAAACGTTGATCCGTTAACGTTCCACCATTAACATTTGTATTAAAAAAATCCCATTTCTATTATCGCTACTCTATTGATTGGTTTAACATAAGATCCCTTTCTCTTACTTCATATCGTAAGTTTCGACTATTAGTTTGTTTAAAAATCACCGTAAAATTCTGTTTAGTAGTAATAACCCTAGAAATAAGATTTCAGAATAGGAATGAAATTGCCCAACGTATGCAGCATTTTTAATCTAACTTCTAACATAGTATGGTCCTTCTTATTTCAGAAAAATGGGCCTGTGCTGACACCTTTAAAGATATTATTTAAAACCGATCCGCTCTTTCAAATTTATTTGCTTGGATTTTGATTTTAAATAAAACTTGCGTATATGTTTATCGCATTATAAGTTATATGCCATTAAATAAAAGTTTCAAAAATGGAATTTAGCAATGCCTATGATGTAAAATATTGGTTTGCTCTTTGATGATGAATTACGTTTACTAATAACAGAAAAATACATTTTTAGCAAATAAAGAATTCCGAAATATTATAAATGTAGTTTTATCTTAAAAACATTAATACTTTGTATTCGTTTCGTTGCATTTCTCATTTACAAGGTCGATTGAGGCATCTATTTAATAGCTCAGAAAACATGTGATATTTATTAATCCAAACTACTCACTATACTTATTTATCGGATGTGTGGGGTATCCTCATGCACAATGAACTTAAAGAAGCTTTTCAAGAGGAAGGTGGATGATAGTGAATTCAAAGGTCGAACTATAATTGTAAATAGCATTCCTTCACTATCTGAAGAGGCTGATGCAAATAACAGGAAATTTATTGACAATGAGATAATTTCGTCTCATTACAAATGGTGGAACTTTTTACCTGTCAATTTGTTTGAGCAGTTTCATGTTGTCGCCAATTTCTTTTTCCTTCTTATATCGATTCTATACTTCTTTGGTGAAACTCCAATTAATCCTGTCACTACCATTGCACCTCTGGTTGTCGTCATCGGCATTTCTATGGCTAAGGATGCAATAGATGATATTAAGCGGCACAAATCCGACAGAAAATTTAACAGGAATCGATTTATGGTCTTAACACACGATCTAGCAGACAATACTTCAAGTTTTGCCCAAAGATACTCCCAAGACATACATTGTGGAGATATCGTGATATGCTATAATAACAGCTCGTTTCCCTGCGATATGCTGATATTAGCATCAAGTAACTCGAATGGCAAAGTTTTCATTACTACTGATAATCTTGATGGCGAATCTAGCATTAAAACCACTAATGCTCTAGCTTTCACTCAAAACCTTTTATCACCAACAATAGCAAAAATTGAAAAGCTCCAACACCACAATATTGAACTTGGCCTCGAAAGATCGACAATTATTTGCCAGAACCCGTGTGAAGACTTGAAGGCTTTCGAAGGAAGCCTAAATTTACCTAGTGAATCAATTCCACTTGCGTTAAACAATGTTGTCTACCGAGGAGCCAATCTCCACCATACTACATTCATGATTGGTGTTGCTATCTATACCGGCAAAGAAACTAAACTCTCCTTGAATGGTAAGCCTGGCTTTAGGAAGTTCTCTTCCACAGCTGGCCGCTTCAATGATATTCTTCTCGCCTTTATTGGCGCAATGTTCGTTGTAACCCTCATCATTACCATTCTTCATTTTGTCTGGAATGCAATGCCCTATGGTGAACCGTGGTACTTCTTCACTCCTATCGCTACTAATTGGCGTAGAGTACAACAGTACTTGACTCTCCTTTTCATCATTAACTACCTCATTCCAATTTCCATTATGGTCACTATGGAGCTTCAACAATTAGTTCTAGCATTCTTTATTAACAAAGATGTCGAGTTATACGATCCTGAAACGAATGAAAAAACTCAGGTGAACGCAACGAATCTTGCGGATGAGTTGGGTCAAATCGAGTTCCTTTTCAGTGACAAGACAGGAACTCTTACTCAAAACAAGATGATTTTTAAGAGTTATAGCCTAGCTAACGACCACTACGTCTATGACGTTGAAGAGGAAGGCCTGTTCAAGGTACGAAGTAAAAACAAATCTTCAACTATTACTGACCCTACGAAAGTTAGCCCAACTACTCCTTGCGATGTCAATGCTGCAGATTACTTTTCCTTCTCGGAAGATGAAGAAGAGAGCCTAGAAGTCGGTCTTGAGAGTAGTGATGATTTAACTACTCAAAAGGAAAAAGAGAGGGTCTATATACTCTCCAAGGAGGCCGAACAATTCTGGACCAATATCGTTCTCAATCATTCAGTTGAAGCCAAAACTTCAGTCAACAATGATACATTAGAAGAAGTTATAACTTATAATGTAATTAACACAGAAAACATGGTTTTTTACAAAATCTACTTTTAGACTTCCTTTCATTTGTTTTGATCGCTTTTAGGCCGCATCTCCAGACGAAAAGGCTCTTATCGACGCAGCTGCTAAGGTTGGAATAACATATATAGGTCTAGACGATAGTATCGGATCAAAAAATGGTGACTACAACACCCACCTTGTTAGATTCGATCCGGGTACCCTAAGTGGAAAGCCGTCCAAAGTAGTGACTCGGAAGTTCAAAGTCGACGCCGTTATTGAATTCAATTCTGTTAGAAAACGCATGTCTGTCATGGTGCGAGATGATGAAGGACGGTGTGTTGTCTACACCAAGGGAGCCGAAGTGACCATGCTTGACCCTAGAGTGAGTTAAAAGCTCTAAAAGATATATACTTCAATGAGAAAAATCCATCCGGATTACCTCTATCATTTTAATTCTATAGAGATGCGATAAAACACCATCTCTTACAAAGGATAAGATAATTCGCAACGTGACAGAATTCGCCCTGAGCGGTTTACGCACTCTCGTTTTCGCCAGGCGTGAACTAGATGGTGATACTTACAATTCCCTCTTGAAGAAGTACAGATGGGCTCAATGCCAACTAGGAATTGAACGTGTTCGAGCTTTGGAGGAGGCTTCTGCAGATATTGAGGCTAACATGTCATTAATCGGCGTCAGTGCAGTAGAGGATAAACTTCAACCAGGTGTTAGGCAATGCCTTCAGAGTCTCATATCTGCTGGGATTCAGATCTGGGTCTTAACTGGAGATAAGGAGGAGACAGCCGTTCAAATCAGTCAGGCTACTGGACACTTTCCCCCCGGCACAACTCTTATCCGTCTCACTAATGGGCAAAGTACTGAAGAGGTGGGAAGAGCAATTTACGTTCAGCAGGAGGGTATGAAGGCTCGATTGGAAGTGAAAAAAGGCAGATCGAGATTTAAAAGACTTTTCCAAAAGAGAGATGCTCTGGATTCTTTTGGATTAGACTCTGAAGCCTTTGATTCAGATACATCTAGTGATAGCGACGATGAGGAAACTAAGATTAAAAAGCACAAAAGTTCACTCATCAGTCGTTTTAATCGACGATTTAGAAGTGCGGTTGCTGATGGACTTCGAAGACATAGAAGAAAGAATCCTGGTGGTGCTAATGAGCCTGTTGGATTAGTTATTGATGGGGCTACTCTTCGGTACGCAATTTCGGTGAGTATTATCCTATTTCAAATAGTTTTTCTTCTCAATATAGTGCACGGTTTAGAGTCTCTTGAGGTGAAGTAGCGAAAAAAACAAGTTTGATTTGATCGAAGGGGCTTAAGTTGTGCAATTTTAAAAAAAGTGGCATTAGAAAGTAAGACAACTGATTTTTATATCGATTAGATTTTTTTTAATATGAAGATCTGCTATGCAACCAATATTTTTTTTTTAAATGGAAACATCACAAAAGCATCTGTTTGCAGTTTATTAGACCCCGTGGGTCCACATCAGGTTACACATGATCGAGTTTTCTTTTTGGTTGTTTTTGGAGACAGTTTTCGCGTCAATCTTCGGGAAACGAATTGTTAGTTTTTGCTAATAAATTTTATTTATATTTATTTCAAATGCCAGGCGTTTTGACGGTTATCATTAGCCCTTTAGCTGACTTCGGGCTTCACAGGGGGAAGGAACATCAAAGTAACAGAAAGTCGAGGGATGGGGAACAGAAGAGTGATTTACAGATGTAAAGAGACAGACATGAAGGCAGAGAAAAGGTAGGATAAGTACTGCGCCAGAAGTCAAACGCCAGTTAATAGACTTTTTTGCCTTATGAGTATATGTTGCCCAGGGTGCACCACGTGGAGGTAAGTCAATCACGCACCCCTTGCTAATAAAAATTTGCTTTTTCTTTAAGACCAAGGTGTTAAGGGGTTTGTACTTTCA